CACCTATAGGATAGCAGCAATTTTAGTATAATTTTCCTCGTTGCATCATGACAAGATAGCATCCTGTACTACAAGTTGAAAATATACAACAACTACATGATAGAAACAATTCTTCAAAATGTAGCAATTTTGGATGTCTGTTTGATGCCCAATGACCAGCACTAGGAACAGATTCTTGAAGAAGCCTATCCATCAAAGATATTTCCTATTACTTGGAAAATATTAACGTGGCATTCATGTTTCCAAAAACCTTACTGAAGAATAAAGTTCACTCTGAAACAAATTAAGAACCGGAATAGTTAAAAACAAAAATAGGCATCTGGGAAAACTTGCATCCCCATTGCAGAATACATAGATAAGGTGAATCACTTACTAAAAGCCATGCTTAGCGACAACTCAGAATCATCATCAGACATGCCTAAATTTATCAGAGTTCCTAATTGTTTTATTACTATCCAATGACACTGAGAATCTTAATCCCAAGCTACAGATGAATCTATTATAACAAGGAAAATCTACAGAACCACCTCCATTTTAGTAGCTAGCAGAAAGGTACCAACTGTTGATAGAAACCTGCAAAATCCCTGTGACATTATGCTTTTAAGTTATAATAACAGTTAAAACACCATAATACACTCCATTCATTTGATAGATATTTGAACTATAGCCCAAAATTTTACAAATTTACTCTTGTCTTCATACTACATACTCTTCTTTCAATTTTATATAAAACAGGTTTCAATTAATAATTATGTCGAAAGTAAAGCATTTATTTCAAAACGAATACTAAAAATGCATAGGAAAATGGAAAACAAAAAGGCAAAGCATCCAATCCTGATCACCTAACCAGATCACCAGGCCAACTGCTCCTCTGTCTATTTAACAACCTAGGCATTCCTATTTTGGATGTTATTCAAATACATATGAACCAAAGAGGATTAAACTACAGATTTAGAATGAAGCATAGCTGCACAGGCTGCCATGAGCCACTGATTTACTCTTCCCCATCAGCCAATGTCATCAAGCTCGCCTTATTTATTATGCATCCAAACACCCACCAACCACTTCTCCAACTGTGGAATTTGTGCCACCCTCTTCAACAGCACCACCTTATCTTACAAGTTAATATAGCACCTTCCTACTCCCTCCACACTGGAAGCAGGCCAAATATTCCTTGCATGGTCTGGTAGCTTAAGTATCGGGACCTGCCCAACCATCAGGCAACCAGTCTAACTGGTTTTCTTTTTTGACAATTTTTTTAGTTTGAAAGGGCAGTACTTTAGCCACATATGAGCTGATGCGGAAATATTTACGCTAATATGACAAAAATTATGGAGATGTACCAAAAGTAAACTAAAGTGGCATAACAAAATTTCAACAGTGACTACCATTAAGGTTGCAAATATAGATTTAATGTTAAAATAAAATTTCCTGATTCTTAAAATGAAGGGTTTTCTGTAGGCTATCTGACTTAAGGGGTTTCTGATTTTTTTTGCAGAAAATGTGCAGTTGTTTTACCCTTTGATTTTTCTTAATAGCAATTCAATCTATTGGCTTTAAGCTCTGCAATAATAACAACCATTTACCTACTCTATAGAAAAGTTTATTAGTTAGCATCCACATATTCTGACATGTGCTAGCATCTCGTATTTTTTTGAGATAAAAAGTATAGTATGTATTCGTTAATTACAAACATTAATGGGATGTCAAACCACAAACCATATACAAAAGATATTTACATGTCAACCATAAAATCGATAAGGTTACCAAAATCCTTTATAGAGTATAACGAGTTATCCGTAACTAAAAAACCCAAGGTTTGATACCATCTAACTCTAACCATATCAAAATCCTCTACCACCCTTTCAAAAGTACTTCGATTCATTTCTTTCTACAGCACCCAAAAGATAATAAGAGAAATAAGACATTATGTATTCTTGTGTCCACACTCTGTGTTGTAGGTATTGAACTTTGTCATGCAGTTTTCAACATTTTAGAAACATTTTTAAGAAACAAAGATTGTCTCTACTATCTGCTCCCAAAGTTGAGTTCACAAGGTAACTTACTTCCTTTGATTGCTGACGAGATATGAAACCTCGTGAGATCAGGGTTGAACGATTAGTGGAGCGAGATTCTAGCATGACCTCTTTCCTGCTTTCTTCCGATGTTATATTGGAAATTACCTCACTGAGTAATGACATTTCTTTTTCCAAGATATGGATTAGCACTTGAACATACTCAGGATTTAGTCCTGCCAAAAGTTAATGTACATGGTCTTTTTCTACAAATCTTTTGAGACAGACCATACCTCTGCTACAATCCATGGTCAGGCTATAGTATTCATCCAGTTCTTGCCACCAGTTTTTTAAGATATTAAGATATTCATTTACTATCCTAACCCCTTGCTTCATAGACCATGTCTTGACCATCAACTTATAAATTTGTGCATACGTCCTTGACTTTAGAGTAAGTTTCACCAATTACAACCCACGCCTTCTTTGTTGTGGAAAGAAACATTACAGTTTTGCTTATTACTGGAGGCATAGAGTTCCAGAGCCATGTCATGGCCATTGAATCTCTTTCATCCCGGGCATCAAATGTAGGGCCTCCAGGTTCCGGCTCAATACCCAGAAAATGACTAAGCTTCTGTTTTACTTTTAGGGCGGTCAGAATTAATTGAAACAAGCTCAGATATTCTTTTCATATGAGCCAGTAGGCAGCTTGAATTGGCTGAAAATCGCTGGTGGAATTTCCCATGTGGAAATATACTCCAGTATTTTAATATGTTACCTCCAACATCCTTTAAAAATTATATGGTAATTGAAGTCGAAAATAAAATAATTATCAGAAGGATTTTACCTTGAACATGTAGTAAAGAGCGAATCTGCAGTTTGCAACTAATCTGGCTCTACCTTGGGTCACTGAGTCAACTCACTAAATCAACTTGGACTAGGAATTGACAGAGTCAACTGGGATTAGGAACTTACTGACTCAACTTCAGATTAAAAACAAAAACTCACTAAGTCAACTCGAGCTGTGGAAGGAGAGGCAGGTCATTTGTCTGCATCTGCTCATTTGTCGCCTCTACAGATGTGACTCATCTTGTCACTTCAGAGCTCCTAGCAAATGGAGCTCTTGCGCCCAGGAAGTTGCTCGCGTCTGGTCACGAAAAGGGTGACCAAGAGAACTTTGCACGGATTAAGTGCCAACAAAGAATTGTGCATTGTTGGACCAAATACTGTGGTCGCATCTGGTGCGACAGAGAGTTGCGTGGCTAGGTTTTTCCTCATGTTTGGAGGTCATGCCTGGTCATGACAGAGAGCAACACTGCAACAATGAAGTCGAATCTAGTGGTCACCTATTCCTTTGATTATCTTTTGGATTATTTGGAAAGAAAGGAACAGCAGAGCTTTTGAGGTAAAGAATCGGATTTTGTCGCTATCAAGGATAAATGGTTGCACCTTTTTGGGTCTATTGTTCTTGAATACAACTTTGGTAGTATTGTTGATTTTGTTTCTATTGTAGATACAAGAATTGATCTGTAAATCTTTCGTATACGAGTGGCATTCCCTTGGTGCCTTTTTAATACATTTTCTCACTTTTATCTCAAAAAAAAAAGCAGTGTCGCATCTGGAGGTCATGACTGAAGGCGACCACGGCTAAGAAATACTCAGATTGTGGTGACTAGGGTTGTGCACCAAGGCGGATTATACAACTGTGTGACCGCGTCTAAGGTTGTGCGCGACTTGATTTGGCAAACTGGATCAGACAATGAATGTGACTTGGCTGGGAAAACTAGATCCAGAAATGAAGGTCAGCCGTGGTGGAGATCGCCAACTACTATTTTGGCTTGTGATGGAAGTGGCTAGTCTGTAGTGGCCGGCAGCTATGGTTGTGGTGGCTAGCAATAAAAGTTGGCCCATTTTAGGGTTTTCTAATTAAGGCAATGAAAACCGAATAGGATTTGTAAAAGAGTTTGGAATTTCTTAATTTAAATCTCTGATAACATGTTAAAAATGGTTTGATATAGAATCTATTGAATATACAGTGTTATATAAAGAGGTTTTTAAGGACTAAAAAGAAAAAAAATAATTAATCACAAAGAGTGCAACTTACTCTTATACCCTTCAACCTAATTTACCTTCTCTTTAAAATTTACAACTACAAAAAAAAAGCATTCTGATTTAACAACTGTTAAGAAAATAAATAATCTTTCAAAAACAAATGATCACTTAAGTGTTTTATTGGCTCACAAGACATAAGTTAGGACTTAATTTAGTTTTCTTTTCTTCTTTCAGTTATTACTTTTTATGGAGCAAAAGAAAAAATAAGCAACTTCCTTTATAGCCACCATCGACACTCTCCCCACACTGTCAAGATACCACTCTCACCACCATTATTGTCACTGCCGCTGTTGGCCCTATTGCTACCACCACCATCATCTCTACTGCCACAGCTACTGCTATTATTAATATGAAGTAAGGAAATAGTAATATGGTCTTCTACATTATCCAAATCAGTTATTTACTTAACCAAACATATGGAAGGGTAAGCATCACATAAAAGGATAAATTACTCCAGACTACCCTACCTAGTCACCAAAAGATGCCAAAAGTACATAATGCTAGAAGTAATCATAATTGAAGATGTCCCCGTTTGAAGACATCATAAGTTTCTTATTTTATATTTTACATATGTTACTCTAGAAACTATAGATTATAGATAAACACAATGCATTTGCAAATTAAGAAAGGTCGTACCAAATAGTTGATTTGCAAGAGTAGAAAATTTCTAATCTGGAATATAAATAACAAAACATGCTAAAAATTTAGTTTTTGTGTTTATACATTCTTCAAAGATGTTTATTTGTCCATGTAACAAAAGATATTTTCTGGGAAGGTGAATAAGCAAAAAAGGAAAGAACTAAGATATGGATGTGCGATGTTGCAACAATACTTAAAACTACATAGCAACAACTGAGTAAAGAAGCTCACCTAGGCTCTCCAACATTCCCTCAATTGTATCAGAATTAACAGTTATTGTAGATCCATGAGTTAGTTGGCGGTTGTATGTATGGTATGTCCCCAAGGTTAGCCTCTTGGGATCTAACAAAGAGATGCACACAGATAGTGAGTTAACTAGAACAGACTTCGGTCGTGAATCTTCCAAAGCATTTTTAAACAATCTTCCGATAAAACTGCATCAAGACGAACAAAATAAGACACAATACTTAGAGCAGTGCAAAGCTGATCTTCAGTAGGTAACTGAGCAGCAAGAGTAGAAGCTAATTTTTACATTAGGAAAAAGAAAAAGTTTACTTTGGGCTGGAGATTTTTGTAGAAAGACCGGGAGGTGCAAATCGTGTTATAGCACAAAGAGTTTCAGCTGCATTAGCATGCACCTCAGGGCAATCCTGTATATCATACCAATACACATTAGCAGTGTTTTATTTTTTTGCGAAATTTTTTTTGAAAAAATAACAGAATGTCAACCAAACGTTTCATGACCAAATAAATAACTTATAATAAACCCCATTACAGAGCTAAAAAGTGTGGACGTCATCCTAACTATAATGGGCGTCTAGGCTCAAGGGCTGGACTTTGTCTCTTTCCTATCATGCTTTGATTGGTTTAAGGTTGTGGGATAGCAACATAGCGACACTTCATTTCCGAAAACATCATTTATCTCAGATTTTAATTAATTAATAAAATATTATTGATTTTTTATTCTCAAATAAATAAAAATTAAGATGAAGATAAGATTAGTTTTGATGTTCCTGAGACAAGTAGGCAGGTAAGTACATAAAATGTCAAGAGAGTAATTTTTTTCCCAAAAAAAAAGGTCAAACAAACTTTTTCTTCACCCGTTAAAGCCACAAAAACGAGAAGGTATCTTTAGCTTTTCTGTCTTAAAAAACTGTCTGACTTTAACTGATTTATTAAGTCATCAAATACTCATTACTTTTTCCACTCCAAAAATGAAAAGTTCTGAAGAATGGTTGCCAATCACAATAAGCATACAAAAATCCTCAAAAGAAAAAAAAACAAAAGAACAAGGGGGAGAGGAACTTAGGAATGTCAAATAATAAGAAAGTGTTTAAAATGTGAGAACCAATTAGCATCAACAATGACAGCTCAACCAAAAATTCAGAATTTTGGAAGCATTTAGAAAGGGCATGACCAGAAAAAGAATTCATATTTAAACATGCCAAGCATTACACACTGCAGAAGAGCCTTTTATCAGATGAAGGCATTCATTAATCAGATGTCTTCAGAAACAATGCCATAAAATACCTAATGCATTGATAAATTCCTAGGAAGAACAAACAGCTGTCAGAAGGAGGAAAATTATTCCAATCCAAGCAGCGCAACTGTTACGCACAAGAGCGTCATGAGGGAAATTTCATCCATCCACTAACAAGATCATAAGTGTGTCAAAATAATCTCTCTCTCCTCATTAGGAATTAGAAAGAAAAATTTGATAGTTATCAGACCAATAAAGAAACTCACTGAGCAGCTGAACTTGTCTACAATCATCTCCAGAACATCTGTTTCTTCCATCCACTGCATTGCTTCTGGATAACTTGCATATATATGTTCATCAGCACCAATAAGACGCACTAAAACCTGGCCAACAAAGGATAAAATTTTCATAAACAACCCTAGTGATAGATGGAACTGCCATTAAACGACTTATCAGCAGATTAATAGATCACTTCGGAATGGCATATACATCACACATCCTGGATCAAGTAAAGACTCTGGGTTTCCAGAAAGCCACTGCTACATCTACTTCATTAGGAATTGATGATCTTTTAACGATACCTTCTAAGGGATGGCTAGTCCAAGATGCTGAACAACAAAGTTTGATTTTGGAAAACACCATCATTATGGGAATGTACATGCGGTAGAAAAATTACGCCAACCCTAGAGAATAATTATGTACCAGTAGCTGAAGATATTAAAATGTTTTACAAGTTCTATTCAGAAAAGAGAAGAAAGTAATACAAAAAAGAGGACAAAACCCCTTAAAACAAATGAACAAAAAAACTGAACAAAATTTTTTATAAAAAAAAAGTTCTGACAAGCTCCATTTACAGCTTTAATATCTTAAAATTAAGATAATGCAAAAGAAGTTAGTCAAAAACATCAAATACACAAAGCAGACCTAATACCATGGCAAGCAGGAATGATGCAATGCATAATGTTATACTGAAATGAAATGATACTGGAAGTAACCTCCATAATTGATGTAATGCCAATCAGATCAACTAGCTGCCTCACAATTCCCTGATGACTCTGCATAACAGCAATAAGTAAAATCAGAAGATTTTGCAAGCTAAAATAAGCATCAAAGAAGGAACAATGGAAAAGCACCTTTGTTGCAAAAGCAACAGATTTGTACAGTAAGAACTATTGAAGCTTGCAGAAATATTAAGAGAAAATCTAGGAGAAAAAATATGCAGAGATTAGAAGAAATTTAGGGGCAAAATAGGATCTAGATTCAATACTAGAATCCTAATGAAGGAAAGTTTCCTAAACCTTTTAGAAATATATTTTCTGTCCTATTTTTTGAGAGATTGGCATTGCCCATGGCCCTTGGAATATTAAGGAGATTGGTTGGAAAGAACATCCAGCAAGTGGAGGTTCTGGTGCAATTTTTATTTTGTGAAACAACTGTCTCCTTAATTGTGCCAGTCTGGGGAATGCTCTATCTCATGCCTATTTAAAGATAGAAGAAATTGGTGGAGATGGGTGTTCACTAGCATATATGAAAAAGGTGAAGGGAGAGAGTGTGGTATGTTCTGGAATGATCTGAATGTATGTAAACGGAAAAGAACCTACCTTGGATTGTGGGATGAGACTTCAATATGGTGTTGAGTGGACAAGAGTGATTAAGAGAGCAATTTTCAAGGATTTGCAGCTGATGAGTTCTAGAAGACTCTAGACAAGCTTGAATTACGGGACTTACCCCTCATGGAAAGTAAATAGACATGGTCCAATCAGAGATCAAAACCGGCATGCTCCAGAATTGAGGTTTTTGGTGTCTGTCTCATGTCAATCTCAATTATCAAGTCTATGCCAAACACTGTTGCAGCGCACTATCTCTAATCACTTCTCATTTGTCTAACATCCAAAGGGATTAATTGGGGTCCTTAACCTTTCAGATCCGAGGATAAGTGGTTCAGAGTCAATAGGTTCTATAACAACATAAGTGAATGGCGGAGAGGGGTGAGGATGAATAGTAATGCTAACTTCAGAGTGGCTCAGAAGATGAGGGAGGTTAAAGTTGAAATAAAGAAGTGGTGTAAAGAGGATTGAGTGGGAGAAGCTACAATTACTCAATCTTCACTACAGGAACTCGAGGTCTTGGACAGGATAGGGGGAGGGAGTTTTGTCTACTGAAGATTTGGCTCGCAAGGAATCCATAAAGCTTGAGTTGGCGAATAGAATACAAGTGAAGAAGACTTCACTGAGATAAAAATTGAGAGTTCGATGGACAAAAGAAAGGAAATAGAAACATAAAATTCTTCCACTGCATTGCAAATAATCAGATAAAATTAACTGTGGAGGAGATTGATATAAATGGCCATTTGGTAAAGGGTAATGAGCAACTGATGGAAGGGGTTGTGGAATTCATTAACAGGTCATACCATGAGGAATTCAGTTGGACATTGATATAAATGGCCATTTACATCCTTGGATGATTTGAAACGAGAATAACTTGAGAAAGAGTTCACTAAGGAGAAGATTCTAGAGGGGCTCATACAATGTGGGAATGATAAAACCAATAAACTTAATGGTATTGACATGGGTCTTCTTCAGAAATTCTAGCATGTGATGAAAGAAAACACTATCGGGCTTTTTAAGGAGTTTCATAAATCTGGATCTTTTGTTAGATGTTTAAACTCTTCCTTCCCGGTTCCTATTTCTAAGGTTGAGCAAGTGTCAAACATCAAAATTCAAAACGTATCAATTCCATAGGGTGTGCTTATAAGCTCCCTGCAATAGTGCCGGCTAAGAGAATGGCAAATGTGATGGGTAGGGTGGTGGGAGAGTGTCAGCATCCTTTTGTGGAAGGTAGACAGATTCTGGATGTAGCTCTTGTTGCTAGTAAAATTGTAGATGATCTACTTCACAAGAATAGAGAAGTGTTCCATGCAAGTGGGTATTTGTATTTAATACACATCGCACTTTTTATTTAAAAAAAAAAGGAGTTCCATGCAAACTGGACATAGAGAAAGTCTATGATCATTTAAATTGGGACTTTCTTGATTATATGTTGAGGTGACTAGGCTGCATAGACAAATGGCGCAATGGGACTTCTTTTGCAATTATGGTGAATGGGAGCCATCATCCTTTTTTAATGCCTTCATAGGTCTTATAAAGGGTGATCCCTTATCCCCTTTCCTATTTCTTGTTATTAAGAAAGCTCCCAATAAAATGTTGTTTGAGGTTAGAGAGCTGAAGATGTTTAAGCGATTAAAGGTGGGGGAGAAAGGGAATATGGAGGAAGTAACTCACCTTTCTTTGATGATGACAGTTTACTATTTTGTGAACTGGATGAACGGGCATATTTAATTTCATATGCATTTTACTGAGTTTTCAAGCAGTATATAGAGCCAATATCAACTTAGGCAACTCAGAATTGGTGAGACTGGGTGTTGGGAGGGATGCTACCAAACTGGTGAGGATTTTAGAGTATAAAAGCATGGATTTGCTAATCAAATACTTGGGGATACTATTAAGGACTAAATATAAAAATGTGACAACTTGAGACCCTAGAGCAGTAGGTTGGAGAAGACGGATGGAAGGGAAACCTCCTATTCTTCACTGTTATGTCTTATTCCAAGTTCTTGAGGGGCTGAAACAATGGGGGCTTGGACTGTCTTACTTATAATCAGATTTGGAAGGTGAATGCACCGCCTAGGATTGTCTTTTTTGCTTGGGAGGTGGATAGAAAATGTATATGACCATTGACAACTTAATAAGAAGGGGTCAAACTTTTGTTAATGGTTGCTACCTTTACAAAGAGATTGCCAAGACGTGCAACCATATTCTTCTTTGGTGTCCGGCAGTGTCCAATACGTCGATCATGGTTTATGGGTTGTTGGGAATTTGTTGGGTTATCACTGGGTCCTTAGGGATGAACTTAGTTAAGGCTTGGGCTGGTATTGGTAAAAAGAGAAAAGCTTTACTCCTTATTTCTTTAACTATTTTTGGGTGGTTTAGAAAGAGAGAAACAGGAGAGCATTTGAGGGGATTGAGAGTGAAATGTATAAAGTTAGGGATAGATAGCTACACTTTTTTGGATCTTTAATTTTTGGAATATGACATTTATAGGATGGATTTTTTTAAAAAAAAATAAATATTTATAGGATGGATGATTTTAGGAATGTTATAGAGTTACTCATTAAGATGTAAATATGTATACGAGCGACAACCCCTTAGTGTCTCTTATTAATATACTGTTTATACTTTTTATTTCAAAAAAAAAATATATGTGCTTAACTCATGCAAAATTCAAGGAAAATATTAGAACTCAACAGGAGGTTTATGAAGAAGCTTTTTAATTTCTCAAGAAACAAATTTAAATTGGGAGATCTTTTAGGGGACATCAGAATTAGGAAGAATGATATTCTCCATGACATTTCCTGTCTTGATTGATTGGTCTCAGGTAATGTTGTTAATGATGACCGTCTACCAAGACTGTATTCCGTTAAGAATAAGTTTGAAAAGATTCTAGTTAAGAGGATACTAACTGGATGCAAAAATTGAGGTCGAATCGAATCAAATCAAAAGGGGGATGCTAATAAGGATGGAGAAGTTGACATTGTTTCTTTGATACACCTCCTCAATTCTATTGTGTTTTCCTCATAGTCCCTAATCATAGAGTGTGACCTTTGGACTTTTTCCATCAGTACCTACAAGTCCTATGCTTCTTATTCCCTAATCCTTCTATTCATGATGATACTTTTAATAAGTGTTTAAAAGTTTCCTGTATCTTCTAAGGTTAAGGTCTTTGTTTGATCTGTAGTTTTGAATATTAAATACTAACAATTCGCTCCATAGACAAGCTCACGAGCTGAATCTTGCTTTGTCCTCTAGCCGTGTGATGTGCTTCAAAGCTGTTGGATCTCACAATCATTTGTTACTGCATTGTACTCGGGCTTGAAGCCTTTTCTCTTGTTTGTCTGACTCTTTATATCTTTCTTGATTCCTCCTTACAAACTTGAGGGATTTATGTCTTATACTCTCTATTGTATTAGTAGGAGGATGGGCGTTACTTTTGTTGGTTGTGGATGATCTCGTTGGAGAAAAATGCCAAGATTTTCAGAGATTATGACTCTTATTTTTCCGTTCTTCAGGATAGGACACCTTTATTAGTGTCCTTTTGGGCAAATACATGAAATTTACTTTTTCTTTCTATTGTGCACTAAGATTCGTAGGCTATCATCTTAGAGAGCATAGCTTCTCTCTTTTGTTAGGGAAGATAGCTAGTACTCCGTGGTTATAGCTACTACTCCATGGTTATATCTCTTTTGCTTTCCACTAATAGCCCTTTCTTATCAAAATAAATAAAACAAATTTATCACGCAAATGCAATCGCAGTAGTAAAATAGAAAATGAAGCAAACACCACACTTCACTTGAAAATTCCTATATTGTTATTTGCCCCACAGCAAATCGACAAAATTCTAACTATCAAACTATTCCAACCTTATTTGTATCATTATATTTCCCATGGAAATAAGTAAGACTTACTTATTAAACGCAGACCAACTCAAACAATGAATCAATGTTATGTTACAAGCTAACTTACTTTTACATAATGCATAAAAGGAACTGTCTTCCGCAGCAACAGGCATACGACAACCTACCCAAATAAAACCACATGAGGCAGGTGAAAATATGAAACAAATTTTCCTTAAAATACAGGAAATCCTAAACAATAATCCACAAATATAAAGTTTAAAACTAGATACCTTGCTGAAGTACCCAGCAAGCAGTGTGCTATGAGAGTCTTTTGGCTCCACAAAAGAAAACAACAGGTTCATCAACTACAAAAAGCAGTAACCTCATGAATTAGTCACTGATCATAGAAAGATAATTCACAAAGAAGAAAAGACAGCAATTTTCTACCTCCTCATCCTCCACCAGTGTTTTGAGTATGATGTCAACTTCACAAGTAAAAATCTCACAAGCAATGAAAGGAAACCTATACAAACCAACAGGAAAAAACAAGAAAACAAAAAAAAAACAAAGAATGGATTCTCAAATTCAAGACCACAAAGAAACAGACCAACATGTTAATCAATAGAAACCTACTTGAAAGTCCGCTTCTTTTCAGCATCCTCAGGAGGTTCTAGCACAATATATCGAATAAGTTGTTCAACCTGAACTCTTTCACGCAAACTGCAAAATAAGTTGGTAAGAATCGATTATAAGTGAAAAACAATCAGCCTAAACAAGAGTAGATGATATAGCACTGCCAAATAGGGTTTAGAGAGATAGAGAAGACAAATCCAATCCACAACTATAGGAACTAGTAACAACCACAATCACAATCACAGGCATATTAAGCACTAAATTCGATGAGAGAAAATCGATAATTTTTAGTCATAAGCAATCAATTTAATAATGACGAATCACACATAGCCTATTATGACAAGGTACCTTAAATAGCACAGCAATAACAAAATAAGGCTTCTAACTAATTAACAAATAAAACAAAAAAATGGTTACTACTTTTTATTTCAAAAAACTACTTAACAAATAAAATAACAATTAAGAAAACCTATTTTAATAGGAAATTCCCTAATGTAACATAAATATCCCATAATATTAAAATAGATATAAGTCTAGGTCTTCTTATTCTGCATCATCTTCCAAACCAATTTTCTTTCTACCCAAAAATCCATCACATTTTTACCTCATTTTAACACATTCCCTTAAATCCATACACGACCTTATCCCTTTTCATTTTATTGAATCACAATTCATTTGATTTCTCCACATCCATCAACCTAAACCAAAACCATTTTAAAGCCCACAACCTCAACACAAACACAAAGGACAAACCATCTAGGCCAACCAGCGCAGGCCCACTGCTAATCTCCAAAACGGTAGCAATCTCTTCTGCTTTTCCCCACTTCAGCAAACGATATAAAAGAGAGAGATGCAGAGAAACATAGAAGCAAGAGAGAGAGAGACGTGTAGGAAAAAATAGTGAGTGTTATATGTCAATTCATACACAGACCGAAAGAAATGCACTTACAAGCAGTCTGCAAAGTACTACATTACCTAAAAAGGTAAGTTGGAAAAGAAATTAAGCTCAGGAAAAGTGAAAAGCTTCTCCTGTAAGCCTATACTGATACAAGTTATAGAGTCAGTTGTAGACAAAAGGCCTATCATAGGATATTGTATCTTCCTTGGGGGCAACCTAATCACCTAAAGAAGTAAGAAGTAAATATAGTTGCGAGATCAAAAGCAGAATCAGAAATTCAAGTAATGGCATAGAAATATATGAACTACTACGAATAAGAAGAATCTTGAAAAATCTTCAAGTCAAGTGGGAAAATCTCATGTGCATATACTATGAAAACAAATCAGCTATAACTATTGCACACAATCTGTTGCAGCACGACTAGACCAAATATATCGAGATCGATAGACATTTTATCAAAGAAAAACTTGACAACGGCGTACTATAAACCTCATACATGCCTACCAATTCACATCTAGCAGATGTGTTTACTAAAACCTTAAACAATCTAGCATTCCACTCTCTTATTGGCAAGCTGAGAATGGACAACATCTACTCCCCATCTTGAGAGGGAATGTCTAAAAAAATATATGAGTAAATTATACCCTATGTAATTAATTGTTTATTTTCTTGTCCAATCGAGAAAACATGCATATACAGGGTTATAATATTCAATAGAATATACATCAACCATTCCTAACTTTGAGATCAAAGCATCGAACTTTGACTCTCCTACGAAATTGATAAAGCACAACCAAATAGAGTTTAGAGAAAGATTACATATTAATGAAAAGAAAAGATAAATCCAATCGACAAGCACAAGAATTGGAGACAATTACAATCACAAAGTTTTTTTTGGGAATACCTACAATCACAAAGTCGTCACAACTAGTTTTTTTAAAAATAAAAAGTGAGAAACTATATATTGATATAGGCATCAAGGGGGTGTCATCCATATAAAAAATTTACAAGTCAATTAAAATATCAATAAGGTTGTCTAAATCCTTCTTACAATATAAAGGATGACCCATTAATAAAAAACCAATAGTCTAGAACCATTTATCTTAAGAATATCAAAACCACTAACATCTTCAACCCCCATCAAAAGCCATTTTATTCCTTTTCTTCTACACCACCCAAAAAATAGTAACTGCAATGATCTCCACTTACTTCCAACGACCATTAAAGTCCTTCAAAGTCCATAATTCTTCCCTCAAGGAACCTGCCATCACGCAATTAATACCAAGCAACCTATAAACCATAATACATAGCTTATATATCATTGGACACTAAAGCAAAAGAATTTTGCAAGTCTCTTCCGCCCTCATACACATATAGCAAGCATTGACCAATACCTTACCCTGTTCCCTTAAATTATCAATCGTCAAACAACATTCCTCGGTGGCCTCCCAAGCAAAAAATGATACTCATTTTGGGGGGGGGGGGACTGAGGTCTTCCACATTTGCTTGAAAGAATAGATACAAACATTTTCCTCATGCTTAAACTTGTAGAAAGATTTCATTGTGAAAGACCCATTCAATACCAATCTCCTCTAAGGAATGTCGAGACTACCATCTAGCATAACAAGGGAGAGCATGCAATAGATTCTCACACTCATTGATCTCTAATCATTCAAGTTTCTTGAGACTACCACTTGCCATACTTTATCTCCACTACTATTCTCCACAAGAGAGTCACAAAGTTGTCAAAACTATACTCACAAGGTTGTTAAGTACCCAATTCAATTAAACAAAACTAGTAGTTTTTATTCATAAGCAATCTATTTAAATATGAAGAACCACCTATGTGTTTACAAGGTGCCCACACCAACTAAGAAAAACAATAAAAAAAAATAAGATTTCTAAGAAAAACAAGAATCATAATACTAAACTACTAAGAAACCTATTTTAATACTTCCTAAACAAGCTTGACATGCCTAATAATAAATAAATATTGTAATCACATAAATTTCCCAGAATTAGTACAACATATCAAAACAAATACAAAGTTCATGTTCACTCCCAACCAAAAAAAAGTAAATCAAAATTTTCAAATATTTATTAGCTTGATTCTAAGTAAAATTAATTTAAACCCACCTTTTTACCCAAAGAAAATATTATTAAGTAAAAAGGAGAATACATAAAGAGAGGATAAAGTATACAAAATATAAGACAAGGACAAGGGTAAAACATCAATATAAAATACCTCTTGATATTTTCCATAAAAGAAAAAGGCAAGCCCAAAGAAATAGTGTGCCTTCACCAACAAAAAAGCAACGCATGCCAATCTATTACGAATAAGGTTCTCGAGCTGAACTTGCATTTAAAGATCTTGCCACTAAATTGTAAGCACAAAACCAAACACCGAATAAAAAGGAGCCATCTCCATAAAGTAGATTATACTCCATAAACATCATCGTTGTCGTATATCTTTCCTAGTCATCATCACAATCTATGTAGTGAAAGATAACAAAGCCATGATCTTCTTACCCTAAAATAAATTTGGCATTTCCTCCCTTCCTCTATTTCAACCTATTACAATTGTTGAGTTCGGGAATTTTTTGGTTAAAATTCTATTTCACAAGTGTTTCATAAATCCATGACATCATCAAGACTATAATGTAGATCTACTTCTTCTTATGATCTTACAAATATTGTACAATCAGATAGGTAGACCAAAATCGTGAAAAAATCATCATCCTTATGTATATTTTGCAGATGAATTTGTATTTACTATTTTTTGCCCATGACTATTGCTTAGAGAATGAGCTGAAAAGATATTCCAATATTTGATCAAAGAGTGATCTGTTACCACAAACTTCTAAGAAGCAACGCTATCCTAAAGCTACTAAGTATATTGAGCTATCAACCATTCACTCTTTTGTGTCTAAAAAAGACAAAAGAATAGGAAATTGTGAAGGCAAAGAATGCATAAATAAGAATACGGAAAAGTATCATACAAGTTGATAAGGCGTCCATTAAGGGCCTTGCATTCTTGAATAATTTCATCCTCATCAAGTAATTCCTCCATTGTATAGTTCTCTTTATCCAAAATCGCCTCCACCTGCAAGTGATATAACATGAGAATTCAAAAATAAAAAACAACTAGGAGAATAAAAGTTTTACTTGCCTTAAACCTTATATAAAGTGAAAAAGCTAAACCTCAAACTTGAAACCCATATTATAGATTAACGCAGACCACATGAGTCCTTAGCAGCTAATTAACAAGTGGAGAACCAAATCTGAAATCACTAAGTCCAAGTTACATGATAAAATGCATGCAGCCCAACCTTACTCTGCCAAGAAAAGGAAAAATTAGTCATGTGAAACTGCAGTAACTAAACCTTTCCTATTCCTCCAAGAAAGAGAGTTAAAAAAGAAACTCAAAGACAATGCTTTCGCATAATGGAATGGTTGGTCTACAGCTTGCATGAGTTCAGTGAACCCAGCATAGATCAAATAGATCAATGAGTTTGGTCTACAACTTCCATGCAATCTTACAACGGAATAAAAGCTGTGAATGTGTCTCTCTTTCTTTCTAGCACCATATTCATCCTTATATTTGTTGTATAAACAGACGAAAAGGTGTCAAAATTAAGAGCTCTATTGAGTTTTGTGGCTTTTAATTAGAGAGATTCACACACAAAAAATGTTGGTAAAGGGGACGCATTTCCATGGAAATGTACTCGTCCATTATAGAAGTAATATTTTAATTTAAGTTTCCTTGGTTTATCGGCGAGAGAGAGTATGGATTGGCTTACAAAGATTCCTTCTATGCCACATGGTACAGGTTTGTGGAATAAAATACGCACAGGCAGAGAGGAGTTCCTAAAATGCATTAGGTGGAGAGTTGGGTCTAGTGAGAGCGTGAAATTTTAGCAAGATGAGTGGTTAGGCGGTGGGGTGCTCAAAACCCCGTTTCCCCAGATTTTTGCTTTCACACAACATAAGGAAGCCACAATTCAGGAGTATTTCAGGAGTTTGGGAGGGAATGGCTCCTAATTTGTGGAGGTTTTAAGGAATCTTAATGATTTGGAGATCAATGAGCATGAATTTCTTCTCTTGGTTCTATCCAAATATACTCCTAACGAGGTCGTTTCCTATTTGGTGGCTTAACTCTAAGGGGCTTTTTCCCGTTAGGATTTTTTACATGCATCTTGACAAGAGGAATGAAACTTGTATGGACTTGCCAGCAAGGCTGATCTGAAACGTAAAAGCATTACCTAGAGTGACTTTTTTGCTTGGGAGACTGCTAAAAAGTGTATCTTAACTTTGGAGAAGTTGATTAGCAGGGAAAAATATTGGTAAATGGCTACTACCTATGAAAGAGTGATGTGAAATTGTGCAACCATATCCGGTTGTGATGTCCATTTACTTACCATTTGTGGACCTTAGTCTATGATTTTTTGCATATCAAATGTTGATTGTTTGTTTCTTGAGGGATGAGATAAAGGCATGGAAAGGAGCCTACAGGGATAAGAATTATTCAGTCTCATTCCCTTGGCTGCATCATGGGCTATCTGGAAGAAAAGAAATACGAGAGTTTTGGAGGATATGGAGTCTAATTTTGACAAATTCAAAGACACATCATTCCAGACCTTATGTGTTTTGATTAAGGGTCATCCTCTTCATTCTTGTGAAAATCTAGGGGACATTATAGATATTTTACTCGATATTAAATTTGGAATACGAGTTGCACCCTCTTGGCACTTGTGAATTGATGATATTTTAAATATAAAAAAACACTAACACAATATCTTGTTTAGTCACCATTCAGTTTCAACTCAATTCCTAGTTCTAACTTTCATATTAGTCTATTATACATAATTAGAACATAATTTACTGGGTTTAAATTAGCACCACCCTAACTACAATTTCTTGATAGGTGGGAGGGTTGAATTTCTACTATCACTATATTCAAAGTGAGACTATAAGTGGTGGTCCGTCTCAAAACAAAAAAAAAAGAAAATGAATAGTGGTGGAATACATATAGAAAAAGTGAGAGTAGTAACTCAAACATCACAAATTATTATGCAACTATGCATATAAAAATTAATATAAGAATCACAACTGAGAGTTTGCTGAATTGAACGAAATGTAGCTAAATCTTGTAAAATGCTTTTATTCTTTCTTCTCTATTTCACCTTTAGCCGGATATATGAGTGTCTTGTCTGAGTCAATTTCAACAGGCTCTTCACTCTAAACAAATCTATTTTCATCATTCAACGGTTGAAACTATTATTTTCCTGGTTCGAACTCAACTTCCAAATTTTTCATGCCACAACCTAGCAAGAGAGTTTCTTGCTTTCCAAACCTGTTAAGAGAACAAACTTTTTACAACCATATATTCCATCTCAGACCACTAACCAATCTATCTAAGACCTCATCAGAATCGATCAACCAAGAGGTAAACCTGGATTATCCAACCAATAAGGCTCTGGTATATTTGGTTAAAAGGAGTAAATGCAAATTCAAGTGTTGAGAAGAAATTCAAAATGGCATTCCTTCATATAGAAAAACTGAAGAGAAAGGCACTGCTACACTGCCAAGTTAACAGACGTTTGAAGTTTGAACTTCTTCGCTCCAGAACAATTAAAATGCAGAATCGCACAATCAAAATTCATTTTTCCCACTACCTCCAACTATCAGCAATCAACCTGAAATTTCACTACAAACTCCAAAAAAATCGCAACAAAACTCCAAGGCCAAAAGTACAAAAACTAACAGCAAAAACATATCCAACGATTATATATACACACAGGCATTCACGTGTAACTTTACACACACACAGACAATTCCGTACAAAGATCAAAAATCCAAAACACCAAAAGAACTCACAGGAGACGCCGTGGACAATCCTGCCATGCGCCAAAACATCTTGGATAATACCGCAGTAGAATCGCCACCACAAAAATTTAGATCGGCGAAACCCTAATCAAACTCAAATTAACCAAAGACCACGAATGGTCCCAACACACTGCAACAACGAAACCCTCGAATCGTATCAGATTCCAAATTCGCATAAACTTTCCGGTTCTGGATCGAAGCCAGAGCGAGATAAACGAATAACACCCTGAATCCCGGAGCGGAGTGGATTTTGAGATGGAGAAAAGAAAAAAAAGCGAAGATTATATTTTTTTGGTGAATATATGTGTGTGTGCTCGTGTATGGTAGGTGTTAAATTTACATGGCTGTATTTCTAGGGAATATATATATATATATATATATATATATTTACATACACACACACACAATCATGGAGTATAATAATTGTTGTATGGGCTAATCATTTGGGGAAATAACATTGTCAAAGTTTGTCGTTAGGGCTTTTCTTTAAGCTGTGGGAGGTTTTTCTCGTCCACTTGCTCAAAAATGGTATTAGCCTGTCAACATAATATGATTAAGGGAAAACCAAAGTTAATTAGAAAATCATATGATCTTTTTAATTGTAATTCTTTCATAAATTAAATATATATATATATATATAGTTTGATGGTTTTAGGCATGTGTTATTTTATTTAATTTTTGTTTTACTTTTAAAAATAAAAAAAAATAATACACCAACAAAAAAAAAAACATATAACCACATAGCAAAAATAGCCTAAAATAATGTTTTTTTAAAAAAAAATAAGTTCGAGTAAAAGTATATTTTTTCTCGTATTAATTGGTTAAAGGGTCTAAAAGAAAAAAAATAAATGT